TGAGCCGGTGAGATTTGAACCGCTGAACTGCAGATAACAGTCAGCTGAAGTGGCCTGCAGTACTGCACCCTAACCACTGCGCCACCTCAGCTCTAGGCCGCAGGTGGCCCTCCTGAGCTCCGTTTTCACTGGCAGAGGGTTGCAGGAGGCCTTTGCAGCCAAAAACAGAGCTCGGGCCTTTCGGGCACCCCCAACGCTAGTGACATCGAGCTGGCCATGCCCACCCTAGCCATACTCACCCCGCCCCCCTAAAGTCAAACAGAACCCTGACGTGGCCCTCAAATGAACTCGACTTTGACACTCCTGGCCTAAAGGGAGAGAGATACTTACAGGAGGACAACGCTAAGGATGGACTCCTGGCACTATAAAGCCCTGTTTTGGTTCTACAATGTTTACCACTTTAATAACAGCCTGATCCTCCTTACTAAGCTAAGCTGGAAAAAAAAAAGGGTCGGAATAGAAGCGGGAGGAAATTCAGGTTTCTCTCCCAGCCTCTTTTCCTGAAAAAAAAAAGAAAAGAAAAACTCATACATTTTGTGCTCACCACCTAATTTGTGGGTGAGCAACAATCTGTCAGGTTGAACTCCCATTTCATCTGTGCAAGCCCTCCTCTTTCTAACTGTTGAGAGAATTAAAATGAGAAGCCAGTGGGAGCAGAGCAGAAGAAGAAGTGTGCCCGTTTGAATGAAGGATAGGCTAAAGACGGAATACATTAAAACATAGACAACAACTCCTGGGAGCAACAAATTATGCATTCACACATTGAGATTGCTGAACATGCTTTAACAGAATGAGATAGCGTAGTTTTTTAAAATGTGAAAAATGACATAGGAAGGGTGTTATGAAGTTGAATGTCCCTGCAAGGGAGCCTACCATTAACCTCATTTTGTGGCTTAGTGTAAAATGATTTTCTCTTTGTATGCAAGGGCCTAGTTCATGCACCATGCAAAGTCTTAACGTGATCATTTCAGAGTCAATTAATCTGATGGAAAATCCACCCATTATGCTCATGGTGTGTGCAAACTATCCATGATTATAACCAAACCATGTGCTTTGTGGGCAGGTTGGTGTGTTGACACTAGCAGTAATGATACTAAGGTAGGCAAGCATTAAGTATTGACGTTCATTTCTAGAACAGTGTTTCTCAACCTTGGTCACTTGAAGATGTCTGGACTTCAACTCCCAGAATTCCCCAGCCAGCATTCGCTGGCTGGGGAATTCTGGGAATTGAAGTCCAGACATCTTCAAGTGGCCAAGGTTGAGAAACACTGCTCCAGAGGCTTTATAGGAGCCTGGGGAGGGTTAAAACAGCCGCCCCCTCCCTGAAGCCCCCGGAGCGTGAAAAACTGGCCCTCTGGGCAAACCAGAACTTTGAGAACGGACTTCCAGTTTGCTCGTAGGGCAAGTTTTCGCCCTCCAGAGGCTTCAGTGAAGCCTTCAGAGGGCGAAAAACTGCCTTCAAAGAAGGCCAGAGTCAGCTGACCAGCACACGCATGCACACTAGAGCTGACAGGGCAATGCCTCGCATGCCCTAACAAATGGCTCCGCGGGCCACAAGTTTGCCATCACGGGTCTAATGTCCCTTCTAACTCCCAAGTCGACCCCTGTTCTTTAGCTGTTCCCTTCGTCTGGCAGCT